GGGGAGCGGGGAAGGGTACATTAGAAGACGAGAAATTCCAATCGATTTCAAATTAGCGATCTGTTTTCTCGTTTTCGTGTGGGAGAGCAGGCGCAAATTCAAATCATGCATACCTACTGGATGTGCTGAAAATTTCTCTTACCGTGCACCTGCTTGAATTGAGTTGCCATGATCACTGACAGATTACGCATAAATCGATCCAAATTCACGTCCACGTCCACAGGAGATAACAACTCACTATCACAGCTTGATCGTGTGGCAACTAACACGTTGTTGTCTAGATTTTCGATGAATATTTTCGTGTTCGCTTTCTTCCGTTATTTGATCAATGGAGCTTTTCCCAGACAAACTACCTCAACCATATGTATAAACGTACAAAATCAAAAACTGTACACAGCGGTTTTGATGTTAAAACATCAAGCATGGCTTTATTATATATAATAAATAAAATCCTTCTAATTGCTTTTTCTATTTACTGAATATACAAAGGTACAGTCAATTTTCAGGAAGGAAGCTGCGGCCATATAAAGGCTACCTGCTGAAACTATAGATATAGGGAAGACGGACGGCGGTGGAGCGGTTTGAACCCGGGATATTCAGGTCACTAGTTGGGAACCTAACCACTTGGCCACCATCGCTACAAGTGTAGTATAGTGTAACTCATTGAGTAATTCTTTCTCAGCCAATCAGATTTGCAACTCTATTTCCAATCACATTCGGAAATCCGTGTGACACGAATGCCTTTGATCTGTTGAGCTCACCGCGCCGAAAACCAGGAAGAATCTCTCGGTTGAAGTAAAAGTTTTTTTTCATCCTGTTTAGCGAATGAGAAATATCAACTGTTGTTGGGGTGTTGGTGATGAGTTCTCCGAGCTGGAAGTGCTGTTGTTCGCAGACGTTTTGTAGCCAAGCTGGGCAACATCATCAGTGCGACTTCGGGAAACTAATGATGATCTTGCGTAGTTTGGCTACAAAACGTCTACGAACCACAGCCCATCCAGCTCGGAGAACTCACTAACACCAACATCCGCATCCCGAGCTACAATTATTCCACATCATGCATGAAAGTTTTTCCGTTAATAGACAACATATTTCAGGGGCTGATTCCATTCTCCCCGTCTCTCTTCTATCCAACACCCTCTTCCATGCCACTGAGGTCGGTTATATCGTCAAAACTGGGGATTCATCGTAAATTCGAGAGCAGCATGCATCCATATATACCACACATATCTCCGGGCCTCGAACCCTCAATCACTTTGGATGGTGACCCGCTTGCTGCTTTCAGCCTCCTCTCACTTTAACGTATCGATCTCAGCAACCGCTTGCTCTTTATCTCTCTCTCTTTCTCTCTGCATCAAGTTTGACTACGTATTGTGACTCGGTGGTCTGATTGGATTCATTTATCACACGAACATAACGAGGTTTGTTGGCATTGGTGTTGGTGAGTTCTCCCAGCTGGATGGGCTGTGGTTCGCAGACGTTCTGTAGCCAAACTAAGCAATATCATCATCAGTTCCCCGAAGTCGCACTGATGATGTTGCCTAGCCTGGCTACGAAACTTCTGTGAACGACAGCATTTCCAGCTCGGAGAACACAGCAAGAACAACATTCACATCCTGAGCTACAATCATTCCACCTTATTTCCAAATACCAACTGTATTCTGTAAAAAAAAACCACAAGAAAAACCCGAAGTATCGTTATGAAGTTGAGAAGAAAAAGTAAACAAAAGAACAAGCATTGATTTGTAACATCAGTAGAGACATTTAAATTTCCAGCAAACCGTTTTGTATTTTTCTGGTTCAACGCTGAACTGTCTGGATCGTCCTTTAATTTTAAATGGATTGTATAAAGCTTGTAATGAAAATCTATATAGAAAACCACTTAGTTGCTCCTCCGACACGCTCTGTGTTAAGCGTGTTGCTCGAGGAACCACACTCTTCAAAAGTGGTTTGTTACTTCGCATTGGGTTTTATTCATCCTGTGAATTGAGTGTTTTTTTTTCAAGCGTACAAACCCCCATGTGTTCGTTTGTTGTAGAGCGGAAATGGATCAGGATATCAGGACCTTTTGGTTTGAGACGAGGGTGGTTTCATTCGAGATTAGATAGGAAGTTCAAAAGGCGTTTTCCGTTACCCGATGTCTGCGCAAACACTTCGTGAAAAAATTCGCTCAACATGTTCCCTCGAAAAAACGATTTATTTTGATCATGAGGATGACAATATTTTGAGCAATCAAATCGAACCGTTTCCTCCTACTTCTGATTACATAGCAGATCTTCAAATGTTTCTCTCTCCCTCCCCAAGTCACTGATTTGAAATAAGCAGTTGGAAGGAAACTGTATTTTTTTTTACGTATTTTCAGATATTCCGTGAAAATTTAACAGACTTTACAAAATTTGCTTGAAAGTTTTCTCAAATAATTATCAAGCCGTTCTTGATTGATTCTCTTCGTGTCGGATTAGTGAGAGAAAAATGATAACCAGACTGAAAATAAATCGAGCTGATTGGTACACAAAATGCGTTTTATTTTTGTTCATTTCTATGCATGCTTTTGTGGTAGTAAACATTGATAGTAGCAGGCTCAATAAACAAAACATGTTTCACTGATTCTTTCCCCTACACCTCTCACACCCTCCCAGTAACTTGCCGTTTCAGTGTTGAAGGGTTTGCAGTAAAATGGACAATTTGAGACGGGGATAACCGTCAACCGGTTCTCGCGATGGACTTGGTAAAATAAATGCACAGATTGTTGTACACACAACTAGCCTGTGTTGCACATATTGTCACTGGAACGTCTTCCGACTGTCAGCACACTCTGTGTACAGTGTGAATTGATGAACGTGGGTCCTTTGCTAACTATCCTGATCACAATGTCCGGGTTGCCTAAACGCAAATATCAGAAACTAGACTCTCCTCCGTCGATGCAAATGACAGATATTTCCGAGCGTTCGTCAGAAAAGGATACCACACACGGGACTGCGGATACGAGTTCACTGACGCAGCTGGAAACAGATGAATCCACCACGGAATTCCGTGCAGCCAAAGGGCCCGAAGAAAAACGAAACCCGAAACTGGCAGGTCAATCGATTGATCAGCTTTTTTCGGGTAGCTCTTCGTTCGATCAGGACAACGGATCGACCGAACACATTTCATCCCAGTTTCAGGAAGTGTTTCATCGAATGAGCAGTTCGCAAAGTGAAAGCTGGTTCACAGCCAGTTCGATAATGGAAGAAGTGAATTCCAACAACACTCCGGATATGTCTACCCAAACCGAACCGATCGGTGGTGGTCTGATACGACCCAACCAACAAGACCAGTTTACTTCCACCACAACCGATGTCCAACAGAGTGGGCGGACTGAAAGAACCCCATCCGGCACGGTATTACGAACAAGAAAACCGAGTAAAGTACACGGATTATCAATGAGCGAGATTGAGATACCAGGCCCACCGGGACGCAGTTTTGTGCTCAGACCGCATAAGAGCTCGTTAACAAAAGAACCCCACCGATCACTGATTGTGCCACAAATCGAGAACCTCGATCTCAAATCCACTAGCCCCACCTCACCGGCGAAAATATTGCGAACTAAATGGAAACGGTTATTTGGTCAACGACGATCTCCACCGACCAGTCCGACAACACAAACAGGCCACGACAAACCGCAACGTATTCAACGCAGTCTCAGTCACCATTCCACAATTATTGAGGTGTCTAACGAACCGTTGGCATACGCATGCATGCCGAGAAATGTGGTTTTAATTCGAGAAAAAGAGAAACTGATTGATCATTCGATTCAAACAACACAAAGCGTGTGTGTTGAAGACAATCAGAAAACTGTCCCAGATACACATTTAAGTCCGACCCATGTAAATTGTAGACCATATTCAGATGGGCCAGATGAATATGCTGGCATTAAATTTCCCAAAGCCATCATCACTGAAAAGATGTCACAATACCCGGTCATAATGGAAAAACCGCAAATATCAGCCACACGAATTAGTCTTCCTTCGACACGCAGTTTGATGAATATGGAACGTCGAGGCGAGTTCAGTCGATCGGAAGGTCTTCGGACGAACAAAATGTTTGTTCGTCAAACCAGTGACGCAACAGATGCCAATTCGAGTCAGGACCATGCGACCAATACGAACGACCTGGAACAACTGGACTCCTCGCATGTGCCGGACGAGTATAAAACCTCGTTCGAACGGGAACAAGATGATCCGGAAAATCTCTTAGTACGAGAAGCTCACGTCGGAGCGTTGGCATTGGCCTGGGCCAGTGGAACCAGAAAGTCCAGACGACAGGCAGAACGTGCGCATTCGGAACACCAGGCCACAACAGCCACAACGGAAGAGAATGGTTCATCGTCCCGAATTAGTAGTGCGTTTCGTTTGTACTCACAACGCAGAAAGTGTGAAACAGAGTATATGGAATCCTCACGAGATGCGATGCGAATCCTAGCCAAATTTCGGACAGATTCTACAAGAGGTGAGTGGTATCGTTCATACATATACACATTGTTCGTTAGCGTGTCACTTAGAGAGTTGCTCAGAATGTGAGGTTTCACTGTTCTTTTGTTTAGTCCGTTTTTGTCTGATGGAAATGCTTGTTGGGGCTCGGAAAGATAATCAATAGAAATCAGCTATCTGCTGTTGGGCCAAATGATTGACTGACTATCGGTTAAGACGACACCTGAACAAACATGAATTGGCAATTTGCTTCAGCCATGATATGAACTGGTTGGCACAGTGGTAACGTACACGTCTTCCATGCAATAGATTCGAAATTCAAATCCCGGATAGACCGGTGGATTTTCACTATTGATGATCTCTAATAAGAGCAAAACTCGAGTCTAGTGCTTCTCGCAGTGCATGGTTGAATTGATGAACTGAGGATTGTGAGTGAAAATGAAATCAATTCAGATCAATCAATATCAATTATCCAACATCGCTACTCAAAATTAACTGAGAGTTGTATGCGAATAGACGGAGACGCCTGTTGTTGAGGAACTCTTAAAAAAGAAGTCATTTGGTAAAAGGTATCTGATCACTTAAATTGATTACACAAAGAATAGAAGCCTGATTTTCACAAAAATATCATCTTATCTACTTGTTGCGGTTAAACACCTGTTGACTTGGTATTTAGAGAGACATCCACTCGCGGCAAGTATACCGTCATGGAGCAAACTAAGTCTGTGCAAATCGTTGGGCTTGTGGTTTCCTAGACATGATAAGATAGACAGATAAGATAGATAGATAGACAGATAGATAAGAAATGAGTGCAGGAATTAAGTTTGGTTGCTTATTAGTCGATGCAATGGACTACTTTGCTGCTGGTCAAATGAGAGCGTCCGAATTGTTTCACAGTTTTCTCTGTGACATGTAAGTAGTGCATAACCTCGTTGTCGCGGCCGAGGTTTTTCCAGAGCTAGCTACATGGTCAATGGCAAGCAGTTTGTGCATATAATCAAATCCATTTGGTGGTAGACAGCTTGACTGTTGTATTCAGGATGTTATCTGTGTCGGACAAAGGTGGCCCGGTGGTGCCATCACCAGATTGTCACCCCGAAGGCCATGTGTCCGGAGTCCTCTCAGCACTGCCTGATTTTCCCCGTTGTGTACTGCATGATAGTCTTTTGATTGACCATTTCTCCCCTCCTACAAATTGTGTAATTATGTACTTAATAAAGGGAATTCCCATTTGAAAAGGAAACAAAATAAGAGTAATGGAGGATTTGATTTGTTTAAATGATGAATTCGCCGTGTAAATGAGACGCGAACTGAAAATGTGAGACGCACTGGACAGCTGTTTCGACCTTGTTGGGCTTCCTCAGCAGTGTGAATTCATCGACCCAATTGGGAATCACGAACCCGGGACCTCATGGGCAGAACGCAAGCATGCTACCCATTTGGCCAGCACAAAGCTGGGAAGCATTGTGAAAATCAAATCCACCATTACTCTCTCTCTCTCTCAATAAATAGTCAGATTGTGAAGGTTTCAAGCCGAGTCATAACCCTGGAGGATAGTGCAGAAATAAGTGAGGACTGATACTCGCAACAAGCTCGTCACGATGGGTTGTACAAAATTGTGTATAATCGAAATGAGAACCGGTCTGATCGGTTGCCCGGTAGCCCAGTGGGTAGGATGCTTGGCCACCGGGCGGCGGATCAGATCGTTTTACATTTTGAATATACCGAATATAGTGCAGCCCACTTTTCCGAGCTTCTTGCGAGCATCGGTCTCCGCTCATTTGAGCACAAGCCACCGGTGTTATGACTCGGTTGGAAACTTTCACTAGCCGACTATTGTTTTCATTAGAGCAGTGGAGGATTTGATTTGTTTATATGATGAAGAATTAAGGAAGTAGGCATGAAAAATTTAAAAAAAACAGACAATGATTCCACCTCGAATGAGTATGTCTCACACAAATGAAAAATGAGTGAACTCTCACGAAATGAAACCCACGAATAAAAGGTAATAAAATAAATAACGGTACCAGCTACCCTCATTTGAGTGTTACTTGGCATAACACTTGTAACATTTTCTACAATCAGTCTTGATAAAGGACAAATAGCAAATAGTGCACTCCACGTAGAATGCGTCACAACTTTGCCGCTCGCGCTGCATTCTAGTTTTCAGCGAATAGTCTCCACGTGGTCTCGAAAGTTATATCATCAGGTCGGCGGTTTTCACGCCCGCAGATTGTGTGAAGAATTTTTCAACGATGCAATATTCAACTAGTAAACAGCAACAGTGATTCCCATATAGCAGTTTCAGTATCAAATAACGCTCGCGGATCAACAACCTGTATTCATCTAAGTAAGTTTGGTCTATTTGACCGTTTGAACTGTTAGTCCATTTAGCACCAATGCTAAAACTGGCCAAAAAGAGAATGAGAAAAAATAATGTGGGGATGTTGCATTAGTCTACTGGAGAAGACATCAGTTTTTGGGAAAAAAGCTACAAAATCACATTTCTTCCATTTTTCATACTCAACACGTGAATATTTGATAGTTTGGGTATGTGAATTTGAACTCAACGTTGTCGCTTCCGAAACGTGTGTGAGTTCGTATCTATTATTTTTTTGACGTCGTGCCCGATCAGTTCGGCCAGTAAATTTGTCCTTTGCACGTTAAAAATCTAAAGATTCCAAATTTTAGTTTTGTATAGTTTGAACGTATGCCATTCCAGATATTTTGTGGTGTCTGCTGGCACCCATGGTAAGATCAATTCCACTTACCGGTTGTGGTGAGTTCTGTTTTAAATGAAGTCGCAAACACGATAATTTACCGGTAAACTATATTGGGAAAAAGGTTATGCAGGTCATACGTAGTGTACACAAACTGCATCCTGATCCGCAGCTGTGATTTGTTAGAAGACTTAAATGCATTTCAGGATCGATAACTGGAAAAACTATGTTAGTGGAAGCTTATTCCATGCTGCAAATTCTTACTGATCAACCTCCCTCCAATCTACGTTTGAAATGGAATTAGCCTAATATTTATGCATGGTGGTCGACCTTGAATTTCCTCTGCTTTTGTCCGGGAAACCGGACAGGAATGAAACTGAAATGGATTTACACAACCGACTCATTTCTGCTTGAAAAAAAATTTATTCGTATACTCAAGAGCCTGTCCTTCCCCCACAATGTGGTTCCATGAATAGAATATGACGTTGTTATCCACACTGACGTAATGGTGCTAATTGCCAGTTGGTAAGATGGCTTTTCAAGTGTGCAGAGTTCTCCTCCGACGTTGTATACCATTACAGATTAACGTCCAACGGAGCTGTTCTCACCCGGTTCCGCTTCCAGATCTCGTTTAAAACATGAGCCACTTATTTGGGTAGTTTTATTTAGTCAATGATTTATTGCGTAATCGTAGATCATCAGTGATGTCTGAGGCTGTATTGGATTTCCAGAACCAACGGAAGACTATCGTTGTTGTCCGGTGACACCAAGTCTGCTGTTTGCTTGTCAAAGCACAGCCTCATGCTCGAATATAAAGTAGGTGATTGGAATATTAAATAAAAATTTATAAATGGTCAAATGGTTTATCTTGTTGTGTCATCGGTACTGTACTCAACCCCTAAATTGTGTAAATTCTAATTTCAAAGAAGGAATTTGTCGTGTATTGGGCAAACTAAGCATGAACTGAAAAGCAACGGAAGCACTGGACAGCTGTTTCGACCTGGTTGGGTGTCATCAGCACTGCATGAATCTATCAACCCAACCGAGGATGTCACAGGTAGAACGCAATCATGCTAACCCCTAGGCCAACCCGAGGCAGTTAATCGGACGGTTTTTCCCTTATTAGTTTACACGATGTAGCACAACCCATCTTGGGCTGATTTGTTGCGACTATCGGTCCTCACTCGTCTCAGCACTTAGACCCAGTTGGGTAGATGAACTTGTTCACTGCACTGATGAGACACAAACAGGTTGTGGGTTATTGAATCGAATCCTGCATAAATCTCATGTCAATTCGAATTCCACAAAATCGGATACCTGAAATGTTTTGATCGGGAGAGACGATGTTCAGGCCTATCTGGAAATTCAGTGATCACTGTGATCGTGTTTGGAAAAACGTGCAGTCACTTGTAAATTAATTGCCATAATCATGATGATAAAGGTTCTAATTAAAACTATTCACATTTTTCTATGGTTACCCACCGATCAAAGACCACGTGTGAATGAACTAAACGTCCATATGAAATAGGACGTTTGTAATGAGAGGATAATCAATGTTTCGGTAGACCAGTCAAACATTCCGGTTGGGTATGAACTACACAACTGTTGCGCATCACACAGTTTGCACTGGGCTGTCGGAAATTGTGAAAATCGGGCAATACTGACCATACTTTAAGTGGCACAAAAAAATACTGCCCGAAACAAGATGGTAAATTTTCAAGTGGACTTCTGTGCACTCGTAACAAATGTGACATAAACATTTTTCGTTCCTGGTATTTGCTACCATTGAACGAAGTTTTGGGAATTCATAATTTTTTCACATCATTACCAGGGTTCAAAATGGACCCTGGGAATTCATCAGCTCCGGAGCATTCCCAATCGTAACTATCAACACAACATTCCGGTGGTTCAGTGGAATCGGACAACCTCCAAAACAACAACAACAACTAGTGGACAAATATAAAATTTGGTTTTATTTCTGGTAGCGTTGGAAGCAAATCGTCCAAATTTATGCATTCGACACTTTTAAAAAACCATGAACCTACACCAGAGAATGTTTATCGTTCTGGTCTGATAATGGATTATTTCATAATTCTCTCGATTGATTTAACCAATGTGCTGGTTTGATAAATTTATTTTATTCCTTGAATGAAAAGGTGAACATTCTACTCTGAGTGGTATCTACCACTTTTAATTCTCGCGCAACACATGCATATCGATGATGTCCCGCAACATCTGTCAGCCAGTATTGTTACCCCAGTGTGTGCAAAACCCTGCGAGGCAAGATCAATTTAGTTTT